AAGTATGCATACACCACATATGTGCATGAGTACATACCCAAAACACAAATTTTTAAGGAGTTTAGTATATCTGTAGACCCGTGTATAGATACACAGACACGGACATAAGTATATATCTTCGGATTTATAGGCATCACAAGTTTGATGTCCTGACATTTTGGAGTAATAGCCATACTTAGCATCTAGCTAAACCAGGGCTGTTCTTCCACAGGATAAGACATCCAAGTAGTTTATAAGATCTTTAAAATGTAAGACCATTTTCAGAATTCTCGCTTCTCTTTTTTTGCATCATTTACTGAGAGAATTAGACTGATGTTTCATGTTTCCAGTCCTGTTCTCCTGAGTGAGTTCACTAGAGTTAACTGGGTAGTTGAAATCTATGGACCATCTCCCAGGATGGGGAGACTTGGCTCTCCTCCACTTCATCTTCCTGACTTCCTGATTTGGAGATCTGTCACCGGCCCCTGCTGTGAGATCTTCTTTATTCTGTGTTCCTTTTATCTTTACCCAGAGACTTTAAGAATCCTTCTTTGTTCCTTCCATCTCCATAGTTACTCTGGTATTTGAATATCTTCCTGCGTCTCCTCCTGCTACGGAGGAGTTTATGGATGCTTAGTTTGCATAGAGAATGAGAGCTGGGATGCTTAATAATTACCACAGAAGCAAGCGTATGAAGTCCCGCCGCGCCCCATATCATATACCCTTCTGTACTCATTATTTTTACTGTTTTTGGTAATGTTCTGACTCTCAAAGACTAAATGAGTCACAGGCTCTTGCCTTGGAAAATCATATTCATTTTGTATAGCTCTACTGCTTATTTATTTTTAATCTAATACCTTTATTGTTCCTTTGTCAGGTTCCGGCTTCTGATTTTCATTTCTCCCCGGATAATTGTTTTGTTTTCTAAACGTCATTTACTCTACTCGCTCCCCTCATAGTCTGTCTGGTGTGTTTTTACCTCTGAAAAGAGATTGTGAGCACCCTGATAAACACCGGGAGGGAAAAAAAAAAAAACTAAAAGGAAACTCTTTGAAACAAGAGCCGAAACATATTAAGATTTTCTTCCATCCTGAGTATTTCTCTGCACACCAGCACACCCTGGATCCAGCTGCCTCTATTCACATACAGCACCTGCCGTACAAAAGCAGAGAATGATGACCTAAGATGAGGGGAGTGGGAGGTGGGCCTCATGGAAAAACTGGGACACTATTAATTAAGCCCATCGAAAGGAAATGCTTCCCCATTCCTTTTAGATGAAGTTGACGCTGGGAGGAAAAATAAAGCCACACATTTGGTTCCATTCGTCAGAAAGCATTTGCTCAACACCTTGGTAATAGAATTTACATCTGCATCATTCAACTTCCAGTGTGTTTACATCAGTCACATAGAAGCAAGGAGTCAGATAATAAACAAGTTATTCTATGGGAGACATTATAGGTAAAAAAAAAAAAAAGGTATTTGCATATTGTATATATGCAAATGGTGTCTCCAAGAAGTTGAAAGATTTGCCCTGGTTTCTGGACCCACATTCCTCTGCATCAAATCACCTTCCTCTGGGTCTCCTTCCCAAGGCCCAGGGTTGTGTACATGGAGATCCCTGACTTGGAAGGATTTACTGATCAGTTATGGAGGTTTGGGGACATAGCTCAGTTGGTAGAGTGCTTGCCCGGTATGTGCTAGGGCCTGGCTTCAATCTCCAGCCCCGAAAAACAAATTAGCTATGGAAAAAAGCCAGGCACATAAAAGCAAATAAAAAGATGATAATGGCAACTGGTAACATCCACAGAGCGCTCCCTTCCTGGTGCCAGGTATTGCTTTACACACAGTGACTCACCCGGCCCTTCCAGCCTTCTTGTGAGATAGGCAAGGTGAGACCCTGGAGGCACAGGGAGATTTACTTGTTTAGCTACAGTCACCGAGCTAGGGAGTGATGTGATTTTAAATCATCTGAGTCAAAGTTTAAAGCCGGCAGCCTGGCCCCGCTGGCTGTGTTTGGTTACTATACTGCGTCCTATGACTTTTCTGGAAAACAGCACGTGGAAGACAGTGCATGTTCGTGATGTAAGGAGTATGCTAGAATGCCAAGAAAATCTGTGTGAGGGGCAGGGGAAGGGGGAGAAGCATTTGCCTCTTCTTTGCATAAGTAATGCAGACCATAAATAGCAGGTAAGATGTATTTAACCGGAAGGTGCTAGGATAACCTGAACGACAAAATGAGGGGAAAGAAAGTCTGCTCCGTGTTGGCAGGAGCTGCCAATAAACCAGCCTGACTGTGGTGAGGCACTTCCTGTAGCATTATGGGATTGAGAATGGTGTGTTAGATGCAAATTAAAGTATGGCTCATCTACAACGAAATCTAAATCTGAACCCTGAAGTGAACAATGAAATACCCCAAAGACAATTTTTATAAGGGCCTAAACTCCTCAAGAGGGTTTTCCCAGTTATAAACAGAATGGTTTGGGAGGGAAGGGTGTTAAGTGTCAGACTTAAGAAGAGCAGTTAGCAACGATCACAATCAACAGAGGAGTGGGGTAGGGTGGGGACACAGAGGCGGTAAGTGCTATTCACAGTGCACTCGGGGTCCCAATAGCTAACACGACTGGAAAGGTGAAATTTTCAGAGATGATGCAAAGCCTCCATGAGAGACTGGGAAAAGAATGACACCAATTCAGAGATGGCGGAGGGATGTTAGCAGGAGGCATGCTCAGATCCGCCACACTCAATTGAGCATGGCAGGATGACACAAGTTGAAACATCATGAGTTGATCAACAAATATTTGTTTTCAATCCCTGTTTTGTGTTGAGGCAATATGCTAGAGCCTGGGGACAGTGCTGGGACAAGACAAAATGTCCCTCCCACGGAGACTTGGGTCTAGCGTTAAGCAGATGAGAAGAAAGCCAATTGAATAGAGGTGGTAGTTACCTTCAGGGTTTCTCTCTTTCCCTCTCTTCCTCTCTCCCCGCCTCTCTCTTTTCCTCTCTCTCTCTCCCTTTCTCCCCCTCCCTCCCTATTCTAGCTCTCTTTATATGTTATTCCAGCTCAGTGTTCCACCTCAACAAATGAATTACTATGAGTAATCGCTTTTCTGCCCAGAAAGTTAGAAGGAACATGCTATTTTAGGAACCCTAGAGAGGCAGAGAGAGAGATTGAAAGCAAACATTTGTTTGAGTTTATTAATGAAAAGGATTACCAGAGTCCAAAGGCCCAGCCAGAGTACACTGTCAAGAAGAAGAAAAAGAATATTTTTTGTACAACAATCTCTTCACTAGCAGGTGAGTTGAAGAGCATCTGCTCCTGGTATGAACCACAAACCCCTGGGCTTAGTGGCAACAACTTGCAGCTCACGTGTGTTTATGTCATTGAGTCTTGGGCTCAGCTCTAGCGCATATAAACCATTGTCGGGTGGCTTTAGTACATAGGTTAGAGGTGCCCAAGGCTATATGTAGTCCACGACCTGTTTTGTGTGACCTGTACAGGAGTCCTTTTAAGACTTGAGACATTTAGTGTTTAGGCATCCTACTAGAACTCTCCCACGGCTCTTGAAAGACCAGCATTGGGTACGTTTTGATGACATTTGATAGTATTTGGGCATGACAGCTCTTGGAGTCCTTTACTGGGCAAACTAACATTTCAGCAAGCTGTAGAAAAAATGGAGCCTATGTTGGTCAGAGTGGCATACATGCCTGAGTTCAAGGCAAGTGGGGACTATGTCCTGTAGATAAAGTTCAGACCCATCTCACCAAGACACAGCATGTCTTACTCCTTAATATTTTCTATGTGGTCCCTGTATCTGCCCTGGGTATGTTCAGCAGAGGGGCACGTCAGCAACGGAACAGACCAAAGAACCATGGCTGCACTAGTTATGAGGGAGCACTCGAGTAACTAGTAGGGAGGCTCTTGCAAGAGACATTAGAACTAACACTTGTGGCAAGGAACTCAGATATTCTGAATGTCAACTTCCTGATTTGTAAATTAAGATGAATGGGTAACCAGCAATTCCACTATTGGCTATAATCGAAGGAAGTGAAATCAGAATATCCAAGAAATGCCCAGGTTCCCTTATTGTGATGGTTCAATTTTTGCCAACTTGACAAAAACTCGAGTTATCTGGGAAGAGGGAATGTCAGTTGTGGAACTAACTTCATAAGAATGACTTATAGACAAGTCTGTGGGGCATTCTCTCCCCCGCCCCCCACTCACCCACTGGTTTCTTGAGACAGGTTTTCCTTGTGTAGCCCTAGCTGTCTTGGGAGTGACCAAGATACATAAGACACAGCTAAAAGGTGCTATCCAGACTCTAGACTCAAGTAGCCTGGCTGGCCTACAGTCCTACAATCATTTGCTATTTTAGTTATGAGGGTGATTTTATTTGTAAATATCTTTCTACGACAGATACTTAACATGAAACTATGAGCCTTTTTTCAGGTCTTATTCAGGTCTGAGTAAAAAGAAAAATGCAGGTCTGATCTCTCTGTTAGCATCTCTTTCCTGACATGTAGGACAGCTACAAGCTTTCCCATGTTTTCAGGATAAGGTGTAAATACATATAGTATACACACACACGCACACCTGCACATGCATACTCTAATGCACACATGAACACCTACTATAGATATTATCTTGATGCTTGTTCCTAGTCTCAGGTGCGAAACACTTATTTGAAATTGGAGTTTGTACAAACATGTCCTTAAAGACTATTTAAATTCATTAAATTGTGACATTTCCTTTTACTCAGGAGTAATTTTCTGTTAAATTAAGGGACAGGATAAATCTATTAAATACATTTTTTCTACTTAGCAGAACAAGATTTGAAATAAAATCTTTAACATGAAAAAAATACTGAAATCAAATAGTGGCTTACCACTAGATGGAGCAACTAAATTTAAATTTTTTTCACTCACTGCAAAGTTTTGAGTGGTTTGAATTAGGTTCTGATTTTAGATTCCTTCTTGATTTTTCCTACAGTCCCCCCTTTTTTTTAATTTTATTCTTCTTTTTCCACTGTACAACCCAATTCAGTGCCAACAGCCTACAGGCACAGAGGCTGGGCAATGGTTAGGAGCCAGTTTGCTCTAGCATGGGACACTATGAGAGTACAGTCCCCCTTTTTTTGTTTGTTTGTTTATTGGGTGTTTGGAAGGCTAGCAAATCTCTAGTAGAAAAGAAATAAAAATAACATTGCAGTTTGTACATCGATGTCCATAAGCTTGAGTTGAAAGGAGCCTTAGAAGAAAGTCTGCCCAGAGAGAAATTGGAGTTCAAAACTATAAACAAATAAAAAAAATTCATCTCAAAAACAATGATAGCATCTTCCGTACTACCTTAATCTTCTGCCTTACAATGTTGCCTATCTAGTCAAACCAAGCAAAAGTGGCCTTTGACCTGTCAGAACAAATGCTGCAGAGTTTGTGTGTACACAGCCTCCTGTGTTATGGTTATGTGTACAATGCCCGGGAGAGCCAGGACAGCGTCTGCTAGTGCGTACAAGAAGCCACAACAGGTTAGTCGCTGACGTGATTCAGGTGGAACTGGAAGGGGAGGGTTCTAGCCCATGGCTTTATTCTGTTCCCTCTGAAAATCAAAGCACTTGTCCATTAATGTAATAAACACGTGTGGGGCTGAGCCCTCTTGCCTGACACACATGGGGCCAGTCCTACACAATAATGATGGTAAATAAATATGTTCTAAGAATCTCTTGTCCTGAGCACTCTATTCTCCATCCATTTCCATCTCAGTGGCTGAAGAGGGTGTCTCAGAATTAGACCAGACCAATCAGTTCCTGAAAGGTACAACGATATGTGTATTTGCTGTGGACAGAGAGGAGGAAGGAGAGCCAGAATTCATAAAGCTGAGGTTGGCGAAATGAAAGAGGACAGGATTGTATTCATCACGGCTTAGCAATGACACCAGTTCCTGGACGGTGGATGCGAGCCGTCACCGTCATAACCATACAGAACAGTTCTGGAAATGTGTCTGAACAACCTAAGTCTAGCGTCACTGAGCCTAAATTATATGCTTATATTCCAGGAGGAGCCAATTTCATCTGTTGTCATCATTCTGAAGACTAGAATTAAAGAAATGTTTTTATGAGATTTAAGTTTTCTGTCTAGACTGATGATGGGGGTGCTGGTCAAGATCCTGGGACTCAGAAGAGGGTCAGGTAAGCAGCCCTTCAGAAGAGAACAACAATGCCTTTTCCCGCCTGAAGGAGACACCGCACTAACGCTCAGTCCCTTTCCTGGCCGTCTTTCTGACCAGGCATTCAAAGATCATGGGTTCCATCTTTTTTAGGGTCTAAATAAGGTAGTTTGGTTTCCAAGTTCTTAATATGTCCAAAGCAACAAACAAGAGAGAGAGAGAGAGAGAGACAACCAGAAACACAAATAATGTATTGGGCACCTTATATTGTGTTTATACATTTTTATATGTATTTGTGTGTTTGTGCACATATGTGTGTTTGTGGGTGCACATGTGTGTGAGGCTATAGGTCAGTTTGATTTAGCTAGACTGGCTGGTCAACAAGGCCCAGAGATTTCCCTGTCTCCATCTCCCCAGTGCTGTGGTGACAAATGCATGTTTTTGCACACAGCTTTCTTTTGGAAAATATATTTGTATTATTCCTTTGAGAGTTTCATGCATTCGTTTTATATATTCTTATTATATCCACTCATCCCCTTAACTGCTCCCAGATCCACCCATAGTCCCCACCCCTCCCTGCTCCTTTTTTTTTTTTATAACCCACCAAGCCCAGTTTCTACTGCCCATGACTCATGGTGTGTGATCACTCACTGGGGTGTGATTGACACACTAGGGGACATGCTCTCAAAGAAAACTCATTCTCCCTTCCTCTCAGGCTGTCAGCTGTCAATCGCTCCTCAGTTAGGGTTAGTGGTGTATGAGCCCCACCGGCTCTTTGCATCCAACTTTTTCCACACATGATGTGAATCTGAACTGGGGTAAGCAGTTTATAGACCAAGTCATCTACCTAACCCCAGATCCTCACTTTGTGAGGCATGGCTTTAAGCATTTTTACTCCACTTAGTGTCTTAGTTTGATTTTTCCATTGCTGGAATAAAACACCACGACCAAAAGAGCAACTTGTGCAGAAAAGGGATATTTTGTTTACATATTTAGTTCATGGACAAAAGACAAGGCAAGAACTCAAGGCAGGAACCAGGAGACAGGAGCTGGAGCCAAAGCTATAGTGGCATTTCATTTGTATTTTAGTAAATAAAACTTGCCTGAAGAGAGTAAAACAGCCCTAATGTTCAGCCTTACAGACCAGGCAGTGGTTAACACACACCTTTAATCCCAGTAGCCACACTAGTTGCCATAGAAACCACGTGGTGCATGCATTTAATCCCAGTGGTGCATGCCTTTACTCCCAGTTTTAGGATTATAAAATGGGAGGAAACAGCTCTTAGACACAGTCTTATTTTGAGATTCCTGGAGGTAGGATCGCCATTTCAGACTGAGGTAGAGGTGAGAGCCAGTGGCTGGCTTTTTTGCTTTTCTAACCTTCAGGTTGAACCCCAATTTCTCTCTCTCTTAGTTTTTATTAATCATGTTTCAAGAAGCCATGGAGAAAGACTACTTCCTGGCTCTCTTAGTCTGTTTTCTTTTAAATCCCAAGACCACCAGTCCAGAGGTGGCACCGCCCACAATGGGCACTGCCCTCCCACATCTATTGTTAATCAGGAAAACGTCCCGCAGGAGGTATTTTCTCAACTGAGGCTCCCTCCTCTCAGATAACTCTAGCTTGTGTTGAGTTGACAAAAAAAAAAAAAAAATCAAAACAAATAAACAAACAGGACACGTGGTCTCTAAGATAACTTCATCAGAGAGATACTATTTTTATGTACCCTTTTGAACATGAGAGCACCAAAGAACAGGAAGTTAAGTACCTTGCTGGAAGCTACCCAGCTCTAATACAACAGATCTGAACTCTCTGACTAAACATCCTTGCCCCAGACTCATGCTCAGAATTGCTGGGTGTCCTACACTGAGCAAATTGTGACTGTTGCCACCGGACAAGGGAAGATTTGAAGAGTGGAGCCACTAGACAAATTTAAAATTCACCACAACCTGGCGACATTTAAAATATAATTTTCCCATTTTTTTCAGGATATTTCAGATTTAAAATATGTATTTCTATTATCCTCATGGAGATAAAACTTTGCCCAATGTTTTGCCTAATTTTCAATTCATAAAACAAAGTTCTGTACCGTAAGTCTTTTATATTCCTGAGAGAACAGTTTGGCTATGGTTTTAGTGAGCTGAGAACTGTTTGCTGGGGAATGCACCTGTGTCCTCCTGGGTAGCATTAGAGACTTTCTCCTAATATGAGAGAGTATCCTGACATCTGCCAATGGAAGTCTGGAGCAGGAAGAATTCACTTAAATGGCCTAGGTTAAGGAGAAGACTTAAAGAGTGGACACCACAAAAACAGCAGGGCCTAGGCTCCATCCTACCAGAAATAAGAGTTCTGGACATGTGTGTACACATGGCAGACACGAGACAGTTCTCACAACCAGCGGTGTCCCCTAGACTTGACTGTATGTTCCAGATGAAGAAAAGTCAAAGCTGTGATCATATGCTCCCACCTCTGAGCTGAGTACAAGGAAGAGGACACTGGCACACTACTGCCGGGCTCTACACATATCAGCATCCTGAGCTAACATTTCAGGATTCATGTCCTCCCCTCCCAGAAGGAATGAAAAAAGATAAAAAGAACGAGAAAATTTGTGAGGAGCTATATAGCCTGCTGGTGACATGCAGCCGAAGTCAGCTAAGAGTAGAGCCCTCCACAAACTATTGAGACTTACTTAATGCAGTTCTTACAATTCTATTGTGTGGGATTTTGAGCATCAACTTTATAGAAAGCAATTTCATGTTACAATGTGAGGAGACTGGACACAAACAGTTCAGAATGCAAATGGTGCCCAGAGAACAGAGTTGGAACAAAGGTGGGTTCATTTGAAACTAATAAACTGTAAGGGTGTCATTTAAGGACGAACATAATTATGAATATAAATAGCATAAAAATCAAATATTCATGTAGAAAGGAAAAGACATCACAGCAAATTACAAGCACTCGGGAGGGATGAGGCAGGAGGATTGCTTCAAGTTCAAGGCCAACCTGAGCTACATGGCTGCATGTTAAAATTAATAATAATGGAAAAAATTAATAAAAATGACATACTGTTTCCCCATCCTCTGACATATTAGTCCTGTATTTTAGGACTGCAGTTAAACATGGATAGTATAAAGTGTGTATCATAAATCAGCAGTAAAAACTCGGGACAATTCCAGTTTTCTTGACAGGTAGTAAAATAAAGTATTTTCTCTTCCTTTCTTCCTTCCTTCATTTATTTAAATTTATTTTGTGTGTATGTATGTGTGTCTGTAACTGTCTTTTGTGTGCAATAGTTCAACACTGAACATTTTCCTTTGCTGCTTCCCACCCCCACCTTATTTTTTGAGACAGAGTCTCTCACAGAATCTGGAGCTCACTGTTTCAGCTAGATTGACTGACCAGAAAAGCCCTGGGGATTCTCCCATCTCTGGTCTCCCCAGAGTGGACTGGAGTTCCAAACACTCTGCCACTCCCAGCTTTTATTTAGAAGCTGGGGAATCTAAGGTCACGTCCTTATGGTTGCACAGCATAAGGGTCTCCAGACCCAAGCATTTTAAGTCCACAGTATAACTGAGGCTGTGGAGAAGCCCAGATAGCCAGGGTAACAGCCCTGAAACTCACTTCACAGTGTCTTCAAGACACCTCTAGCAAGCGGACAGCTTCCAGTGCGGTTGGAGAGCCAGGAAACGGCTCAGTAAAGGGTAACTGTGTGAGGGTGATGGGAGCTAATCACCTACAGAGAATTCTCACACAAGTGGCCATTGCAAGACTGGAAATCACCACCAGGTTCAGCAAATCTGGCCATAAAGGCACCAAGAGCAATTCAGAGGTTTCAGTTGCTGTTTCAGTGTCTACACCAGCAAAATAAAGGAGGAGCTGTATGAATCTGGATCCTGCCAGGAAGCAGCAAGAAAGGCCAGCACTGCTATGGTGCTAACCGAAGGGCAAACACACTCTCAGATGCAAAAGACCAGGAGTAAGCATCCTAAGAGGTAGCTTTCAAACACTTACTCCATACAGAGGAAACCCAGTACCTGCATTGCCAGCGGTGGTGTTCAAGTGCCCACCTAGTCACATAGTGTGGTAGTTTGAATGCTACTGGGACCCCACCTGATAGGGAATGGCACTATTAGGAGGTGTGACTTTGTTGGAGTGGGTATAGCCTTGTTGGAGGAAATGTGTCACTGTGGGGACGGGCTTTGAGCTTTCCCGTGCTCAGGATACTGCCCAGTGTCACAACTGACTTCCTCTTGCCTACAAGATATAGTACTCTAGGCTTCAGCAGCACATCCATCTGCATGCAGACATGCTCCCCGCCATGATGATAATGGGCTAAACCTCTAAAACTGTAAGCAAGCCACCCCAATTAAATATTTCTTTATAAGAGTTGCAATAGTCATGGTGGCTTCTCACAGCAATGAAAAACCTAAGACACACAGCACATCAGCTTTGGATCACGGGGACTTAAACAGAGTGTTAACTCCCAGATTCAAAACAAAATGTATTGGTTCTTGTGAACCTTATTGCCTCACTACCCTAAAACTACACCCAATCCCTTTCACCTCTAGTTATCTTAGAGACAAATTCCAGGCGCTATTACCCTTTGTTCATAAGTATTCTAGAGTGTATCTGCAGGAGATAGAGCTTCTCAGCCAGATGTGATGGGTGCACACCTCTAACCACAGCACTGGGGCGCTCAACAGACCCTGAACTCAACGTCAGTCTGGGCTTGGTGAGATTTAACTAAAAAACAAGCCATGACAAAACTAAAACAAAAAATGACCTCCAAACTAAATACCAAATACCTTTAAAATAATGATCATAGCCATGCTATGACTACCACACTCTTGACATTGATACTCTATGAATTCTAACTAGTGTGTAGCCACATGCTGCTTTGGTTGATACCAATAATTAAAAAGCAGACCAACAAAAGAAACTCGGACCCAAACGTAACCGTGAAAAGTGGTGTCTGGACCTCAGTTCACCCTATCTGTGAACACACGGGAGTAAATCCTCTAGAC